CTTAAAAGTGTACAAAATTTGCATAATATTTCCATTTGTCAATGGGTGAGGTGTACCAGCACAACTGAAGATATGAGTTCCATAATTTCTCACTTTAATTTTTAAATAAAATTAATTTAAAATGTTAGCTTATTCAACATAATATATAAAATATCTACATATTAATAAGTAGCAATTAAAATATTTTTTCTTTTAAATTTGTATATATTAAGATTCATATCTTATAAACATACTATATTCTGAAAGAAAAAATTACGACTATTATCGTTTTTAAATGTTAAAGACTTATCTGTTAAAGGAGGAATTGCAGGTTGTAATTTCAGTTAAGATCATTTTTATCCATATATTTTAAAACAATATTTCTCCTACCTACCCAATACATATTGTATAGTTTACGTTGAAAGGATTAATACAAACGTGAAGTCCGATATATGTATTGTCCAGTGTAAACCATAGCGGTGTTAGGAAATAACCCAAGTTAAAAAAGTTGTTTATTAATCCTTCATATTGAAAAATCAGTCATGATCCCCAATTATAATTAACTATGGACTCGTGAAAGGTTATATAAGGCAGTGTGATGAAATCATTAGTCTGAAATTCTTTTTGACAGATGACAATAATGTTACTACTGTGTATATCTTAAACTTCATACAAGATTATTATATGAAAGACATATGACTTAATATATCATAATACAATATAATTTGTAAAGAACCTTTTTTTTTTCTCTCAAGCCGGGGTTTTTCTCGCCGGATCCCAGAGTCGTTACAAGAATATTTTTTCTCTGTAACCCTGAATCGTTCGAATAATAATTTTCAAGCCACTTAATTGTTTTTAATTTCTTTATTATTTTTTTTTCGGAATTTATTTTACAATATTTATAACTTATTTGCTAATAAAATATATAATACATATTAAGAATTATAATAAGAAATTTTAATTAATGGTGGATTTGGAACCAACACTACCGACAAGGCTGTGTTGCTTAGGAACAGTGTTACCGATAGGGCTACACTGATGAACTTGGAACCAATGCTACCGACAAGGCTGCGTTGCTAAGGAACAGCGTTACCGATTGGGCTACACTGATGAGCTTGGAACCAACGCTACCGACAAGGCTGCGTTGCTTAGGAGCAGTGTTACCGATAGGGCTACACTGATGAGCTTGGAACCAACGCTACCGACAAGGCTGCGTTGCTTAGGAGCAGTGTTACCGATAGGGCTACACTGATGAGCTTGGAACCAACGCTACCGACAAGGCTGCGTTGCTTAGGAGCAGTGTTACCGATAGGGCTACACTGATGAGCTTGGAACCAACGCTACCGACAAGGCTGCGTTGCTTAGGAACAGTGTTACCGATAGGGCTACACTGATGGACTAGGAAAATGTTATTTAAATATTTTTAATTACCTGTTTATACACTTGATCTGGCTCTGTCAAGTGTTCTGCTTCGTGGCCTGCCATAGAGTCTCTGGTGATGTGCACTGTTCGAAGTGCTGTGGCCAAGTCCCTCTGGTGATGTGCACTGTTCGAAGTGCTGTGACCAAGTCGCTGTGTTTTACTTTGCTTCTCCTTTTATACGGATTTTATATAACGGGATAACTGACTTCTGAGTGCATACTGTGTAGCTTTCTTCAAAGTTGTTATTGCCTGCTACTGATTTCGCTATGTTCTGCTGTTGTTGTTCGCTGCATATTTATTATTAAAATTTTGTAAAAATAATTACCCTCAAAGAAATCGGAAGTATTATTACTTAATTTGTATTTTCAAGAGATTAATTGTTTCTCTTAATTTTGATAACTAAATTCTATGATAATTTATAATTACTTATTATTATCTTACTTTCTAAAATAATTCCTTTTACTTTATTAATACTTTATATATTTTTTCATAGCTTAGATTAATATTTTTTTTCGTGGGTTTGGTTTTACTAATATTAGCTTAATTCTATTGTTTTATTTGTTTACAATAATAATAATAACTTCATGCTATATATATTTTTCGACTAAAAATAGTTTTAATTCTGTTGTTGGGTTTTTTTATTTGTTTACTATAATAACTTCATGTTATTTTCAACTATCATAATTTATTTGTGACGCGTTGGAAAAAATCGTCACACTCCCTCCCTTCATTGGAAAGGGGGAACGACCCGGATGGCACCAGAATTTGCTATGAGCACCTTATGTTTTTTCCTGATTTTGCACATAAAAACATGGCGACGGCCCCGTTTTAACTTTTGAGCGTCCCTCTGTATCCGTTCCCAAAGTTCTGCGGTGGTTCTGGGGCTAGTTTTGCAGCAAAATGAGCCTGAGCGTTGGATAGTGGATGTGTTTGACTAAAACCATATCGCCAATCTGTGGTTTCCATGCTCTGGGTCGTAAATTATAGTGTTTGGCTTCTGTAACGTTTCTTCGGAGTTTTGAATATTTTATAAAATTCGTCTTGGGCCGTGGTGACAATCTGATCGTTCTCCGGTTGGGTTGTACAACAAATTTTCGTTTGCCGTTGCTGGTTTTTTGTGCTGACTTTGTCATCTGTTTCGAGACAACGTTCCTTAATTTGGTATGGTAATTGTTCCTGTTGGCCTTGTTGTGTTTCAATAAATTTTATTTGCTGTTGTACTATTTGCTTTTGTGTACCTTGTAGTTGTTGT